CTGTGAGGCAGTCCTGTAAGTTCAGGTGGGAGTCAAGGTGTAAGCCGATGTTGCCAAGACCACAGCCTCCAATTATCTCCAGGATGCTCCCCGTACATGAGTTCCGGCGGCCCCTCCTCTTCCTTCTTTTTCCTTTCTCCTGAGGCTGCTGGTTCCCAGGGGCCAGTGGCAGGGGTGTGTGTGTGTGTGTGTACACACAGGCGAGCAGAGGCACCATGGGAGAGAGATCTCAGTGTGTCCTCCCAAAAGGGAGCTGCCTTCATGTGTGGAATGGCCAAACAAGGCCCAGCTGTACCTCTCAGGGAGTGACAGGCTCGGGGTGTGGGGGACTCATTGCCTACACCCACCTGGAGCCTCCTAGTCCCTTATGTCTGCGGGGAGATGGAGGCCCGTGAAAAGGAGCAGAAGACAAGGCCCCAGATAGTCCACGAGCCTCTGGTCAAGCGAGCAGGGGCCGCTCACGGGCTGGGGTCTCTTCAGCAGGAATCCCAGCCTATGTCCGGTGGCCCAGAGACACCCCCAGAGCCCAGGGCCTGGAGCCAGGTGTCCGAGACCGCGTCCTCTGAAGCAGAGGCTGGCGCGGCTCAGGGAGATGGGCGGCAGCAGCGGGAAGCAGAGGCCCCGGCCCCAGGGTCCATCGAGGTAATGCACACCTTTGTCCCTGAAGCCGACTGGGGACACCACCGCTGGGCCTGAGCCAGGCAGTGAGAGGCTGGCCAGACACCTGCATGTCACAGTGGGAGCCACAGCCACTGTCCCGGGCAGTGTGAAGGCCATCTGCGGAGGGGGTGGCTGCCCTGGCCCAGCAGAGGGGAATGCCATGGGGCCCAGAGCCCGCAGAATTCTGGAAGCAGTCGGCCCAGGGCTTTGGTGCAGGACTAACCCACACCTTTGTTGGTTCCCTTCTCATGCTCTGTCCCTGTGTCTCAGTCCTGTTTGGCAACTCCCTGTCCTGTGAATGCCTCCATCCAGGGGCAGGGCCACACAGCGGGGCTCTGAGAACACGATCTTGACACAGTGACCTCCAGCTCTTCTCATCGGGCTGAACATAGAGGCTGCAAACAGGAGGCCCGCCAGCTTCATGTTGAATTCTCTTCTGATCACAGAAGGCTTTCATTTGAAATGACTACAAGAAAACTGAAGTCTCATCAGTGCTGTCAAGTCCATTCTGACTCATAACGGCCCTCAGTACCAAGTGGAACCACCCAGAGCGGTTCAGAGGCCATCTTTTTTTTTTTTTTTAACAGACCCAAAATGTTAAGATTTTATTTTACAAAGCTTCTCTGTTGTACAGAGTACAACTGAGAGTAACTGGTGGCCACAAATGGCTGAGACTCACCGATCACAGCTACCCACGCTACAGCAAGTCTTGCAAAAAAACCTAACAACGCTTACAGTTTGGTTGGGGCAAAGTCCCCACACTTGGTGGTGGAGTTCCAAGAGGGACTAAACAGGAAAGTGGAATATCACAGGAACTATTCTTTGGCTTTTTAGGTGGGTGGGTGTCTTGGGGTTTGTATCACAGCTAGTTTTAATTTAAAAAAACAAACAAAAAACAGCTACCAAATCCATGGGGGGTGGGGGTAGGGTGGGCGGGGAGAAAGTGCAACATTGAATGAATGGAATTCCAAAATCTCTGTAGATGTTCATTGAAATTTAAAAAAAAAAATTAAAAAACAAACAACCAACCAGCTACCAGATCCATATGCGCAGTCCAGCCAACACTGAACAGTTCTTTTCTTGTGAGTTAACTGGGGCCTGCAACATTTTCTCCTTCATCATCTGTTTCTCTCTTCCTCTTCTCACCTTTCCCACTTTCTTCCTCATCTTCTTCATCAACTTCTCCATCGTGGCCAAATTCTCCTTCCTCGCCACTGACTTCATCTTCATCTTCTTCCCCTTCTACATCTTCATCTTCGTCTTCATCCTCTTCATAAAACTTGTCCTCTTCATCCTCCTCATCCTCTCTTTCATCCTGAGAGGCAGTAAATATTTTTTTTTTATGGTGAGAAAAATTTATGTTTAGAATTAGCCAGCTGGACTCAGTTTAGATGATCCCAATTTTGTTGGCAACATCCAAAGCATCATAGTCAGGAGCAAGTTGAACACAGGCCTCCTCCTCTCCATCAGGTCTAATCAGTGTTGACCTTGGCCACCTCAGTGTCATAGAGCTTCTTTACAGCTGGTTTAATCTGGTGCTTGTTGGCCTTGACATCCACAGTGAACGCAAGTGTGGTGTTATCTTCTATCTTCTTCATGGCTGACTCAGTGGTCAGAGGAAACTTGATGATGGCATAGTGGTCAAGCTTGTTTCTCCTGGGGGCGCTCTCCCCAGGGGTATTTGGGCTGCCTTTGGAGTCTCAGCATCTTAGGCCACCAGAAGGTGGGTGACGTGTGGATCTTCTTTTTTCTGTGGTTGTGGATTCAGGACGCCTTCTTGGCCTTTAATGCCTTTGCTTTGGCTTCAGTTTTGGGAGGGGCAGGGGCTTCCTTCTTGGCTTTCGGTGCCATCTTCGTAGAAAGGCGAGAGGCAGTAAATCTTGATGGAAGTAAGCTGCCACGTCTTTATCCCGTGAAGCAATGGACATCTTGGGTTGCAACCACAGTTGCTTAACCACTGTGCCACCAGGGCTCCTGACCTGAAACCAGAGCTTTGCATGTGAAGAACTGCTTTTCTGGCTCCTCTTGAAAAACTGGAAGAGGATTCCCACACACACACACCCCCGGGGACACCCCCTTGACACCCGCTGAGGGCTCAGGTCTGACCCCTCCCCGCCTGCCTGCCTGCACTCTGTCACCTGCCTGGTTCTGGAAGCAGTTGGATTTTCTATCCCTAAAGCAGAAGGATGTCATGCTGTTGACTCCAGTGTCCCCCCCTCTGCTCCCTACGTGCATCGGTCACCAGGGGAGAGAGGAAGGTCTTGTGCTAAGAGACAGGTCCTGGTGGCCATTGTCCTGCAGCCCAGCCTGAGTCTTCAGGAGCTGTGGCTTCTCCTGATGGATTATAACTCCTTCAGTGTCGCCTTCCACGTGTGACTCCGTGGCGACTCTTGGGAGGCTTTACGGTCATGGTCAGTCTGGGAAGAGGAAGGCCTGCTGGAGTCGTGGTCCCCCTGCTGTGAGTCCTCTTCATTTCCCCTGTATGATCCGACTCATGTGGACATGCTGAGAATAAGAGGACTGGAAGAGACTGGGGAGGCAGAGAAAAGGGGATGTCACACTGGGAGGTTGACGCGTGACCAAGATGTGTCATGCCTGGTTCACGATGGGCCTGTAAAGAAAGAGATGCATTATGGGTTTCCTGGAAGAAAGACCTGCTCACCTGGTGAGCACCTGGAGCCTAGGCACCTGGGCTCCCTCAGGTCAGCCCCCCAGGCAGACCATGGGCAGCACCCATGATCTCAGAAGAGATCGGAAACCTTCCTCTGAACCTCCCTTTCCTGCTGTCCTGGGGCAAGCGAGAGGGGCCTCAGGAGACCACAAAAGGCAGAGCCATCAGTGGGAGCTGCCTCTCCGTTCCCAGCAGAGACCAAACCCTTCTCTGTAGCAAACCTCCAAGTCTAAAGAGAGGACACCAAGACATCCTTGGAAGGATTGACTAAAGGATGAGGAAAGGCATTACTTAGGACTGCCAGCCGTGGCTGAGAGTGCAGACACGCTCCCCTCTGGTGCTGAGATTGGGTGGTTTAACCACGAGCAGAAGCAAACAGAGGTTCCCCTTCCTTCAGAGAAACCCTCTTCCCTTCCACACCTGTTTGAAGCCTCATTCCTTAGAAGAGACTGGAATTCCTGCACAAATGATTTACTGAGGGAATCGTTTTCTGGAGAAGAAAGTAAGATTAACAGAATAAGACGAAGGAAAGAGCTAAAAGGAAGGTGTGTCAGCTGGAATAGGGGGTCTGGGACAAGAACTGCACTTCAGGACTGTCCTTACTGAAGGCAAGAGGGTCAGCCTTCTGTAGTGCCCGCGACGGTCAGCCTCGGTCTGTGGCCACCTCTGGATTGGATCCCAGCCCTTGGAATCATCCCACAGAAGACAACGCCTCGACTAGAGGCAGTTTTCTAAGAGACCATTAGGAGTAAAGGGAGCTCTGGTAGCCTAGTGGCAAGAAGCTGCACTGCAAACCTGGAGGTACGCGGTTCGAATCCACCAGATGCTCTGCTGGAGAAGAAGGAGCAATTTCCTCCTGTACCAGTCAGATCCGATTTGACGGTACACACAAAAAAAATAATAAAATTTAAAAGAAGACGAGACCATTAGGAGTCAATACTCCCAGCAGCTGCCAGCGGGCGCGCTGGCCACAGTGAAGGGGAGCTGGGCAGAATGGCCACAGTGGCCACAACGCCTCTGGCTCCATGTTCTCACACTCCACACATCCACAGTCCCACACAGGACCGCTCATATGCATGGCTCTCGGATTTTGTAAGGTGAGGGCGGCAGACCCTGGTGTGGTCACGTCGGGAGGGTCCAGCAACTTCTCAATCTTACTCCAGCCTCTGACTATACCAGAGGGAGGGGGCGGGAAGTGTGGGCAGGGCTGCCGCACGCCTGACCCTGCTGCCTGTGTGACTCCCCCTCATCCTGGTTCTGACTGTGTTCTGATTGTGGTCCCGTGCCCTGGCATGACCGTTTCCACCGCATGTACCAGGCTACCACTCTGTGTCTTGGTGTGTTCACACTGCCGCCACTGTCTGTTCTATTCCCACCCAGATCCGTTCCCCATCAGCCCCCGCTCTGCACCCCTGCCCTGGACCCCAGCAGACCAGAATCGCAGCCCAGGCCTGTGAGGTCGCAGGAGCCCTGAGGCTTCGCCGTGACTCAGCCCTGACCAGCCCTCGGGGTGGGGGGGGGTGCTCTGTGGAAGGTCCTCACCGTCCATCCCAGCATGTGCCATGGAGGGGAGGCTGGGCATCTCCCCTCAGGGACCCCTAGGTTCTCCTGAATGTGGGCCTGAGGCTGGATGCTGCTGTCCATGCCACGCTCATGCCAACACCCATCCACTGACCCACAGGACAGTTTCTCCGAGGGCAGCACGGCAGACATGACCAACACCGCTGACCTCCTGGAGCAGATCCCTGACCTCGGGGAGGACGTCAAGGACCCAGAGGACTGCTTCACTGAAGGTGACAGCCCCTACTCCGCTCCCCGGAAGTCCTTTCCCAGCCTCAGCACCACCTGGAGGGACACGGGAGCCAGCGCCTGTGCAGTCCTCTGCTCCCGTGGGTCCCCTCCATCTGCCTGTGATGTGAGCCCACTGTGCTGTGGGGCTGGCAGCTGTCGGTCAGCCATCGTGAGAGCCGCTCTCACAGTGGTGTGTGACAGCAGGAGGCCCCAGGCCCTGGCACCTAGTGTTGTCAGGTGCCATGGAGACTGTGCCTCAGTGACCCTATGCGCAACAGATCCCCAAGATCTCTGATAAGCTGAGCCCAGGCCCTCCCCAAGTCTCAGAAAGTGGGTGGGACAGAGCTGTGTTGGTGACGGGTCTGTAGCTTTATGAACTGGTGGTCTATTTGGAGGTATCATGGGGGCCTGTCCTCCAAGAGGCAGGTCAACACTGGCTCTTCGTGAGGGAGTCACCCATCCTGAGGTTGAGAAACTGCCATCCTGAAAAAGGCCCTCAAATACAAACACCTGGGGGTTCCTATTCCCTCTGGGGGGGATCCCAGATGAGCACCCCCACTCAGGCCTGCCAGGCCATGCACCCACTTACCAGGTGCCTGGTCCATCTTGCACACCCTGAGCATGTGACCCCTGTAAGCAGCTCCCACTGTCGCCCACCCCATCAAGGTCCTGCCCACCACTCTGCCCTGTCCCTGCCCCATCAACTGTCATCTTGTCCGTCATTCCTTCGATCAGCCAACTTTCTACTAGCCGGTGGGGAATTCGCATGGCCTGGCCTGGGCCTGACCCACCCCTCCCACAGGCTGTGTCCGGCGCTGCCCCTGCTGCACAGTGGACACCACGCAGGCCCCAGGGAAGGTCTGGTGGAGGCTCCGCAAGACCTGCTACCGCATCGTGGAGCACAGCTGGTTCGAGACCTTCATCATCTTCATGATTCTGCTCAGCAGCGGAGCGCTGGTACCTTCAGGGGGCGGAGGGCTGGGGCCGAGAGGGAGGAGGAGAGAGGAGGAGGGTGAGGAAAGAGCACCTCAGGCTGCAAACCGCGGGAGGGGCTCTGCTGAAAATGTACCCCACACCCTCAACACCCCCACCCCACCCCCGGACACAGGAAAGTCAGAGTACAAGGGCTCAGAGAGGTCGTCCATCCACACTCCTTATTCTATGAGAGGGAAATAATTTGTCCAAGATCGTAGTCCCATCTGAGACAGGTCCCAGGTCCCAGCCTCCGACACAGGAGCTCTGGTGGCACCTCCGCCTGCACACAGGGTCAGGTGGGCTGCTGGGACCCTCGGGAGATGATTCATGGCCGTTGACAGTGGTGTTTTCGCCTCCTTCCTGTCTCTGTGTGTAGAAACAGTGCTACTTGTTTGACACATTATCACATCCGACATCCACACTAACTTTGTGCCGAAACAATGAATAACTTGCCCAAGGTCAAACCCTCAAATGAAACCAGCCTGGCGTTTGAACTCAGGCAGGTGGATTTCACGGTTCTCAGTGGTTTACAGGACACAGTGACTGCAGCACTGGACTTGAGGACTTCAGAGATGGTAAGGATGGCACAGGATAGGACAGGATTCAGAGCTGGGCACTACGAATCATATTTCACTTGTTGGCACCTGGTTTACACTTCCCCAGTGACTCGGGGAGAGAGATGGGCAATCTCCTCCTGTGTGATTTACCTTGAGAACCCAGTGCAGGGCCAGCTATGAATTGTCCCATCTCAACGGCAATGACTGTAGTGAGAGTCCTAACCTAAAGGTGGGCAGTTTGAAATCACCAAGCAGTGCCATGGAAGAAAGGCCTGGCAATCTCCCTCCATAATGATTACAAACCAGTAAACCATATGGAGCAGTTCTGGTCTATCACGCGAGGGAATCACCCTGAGCCAGAGTTGACTAAACTGTGAAGGGTCTTTTTTTTCTGTTTCCTTGTTTGTTTGCTTGAATTTCTTTACTCCTTTCTAAGCTTTCTTTGTAGCAAGCCCTGTGAGCCATGGAGGAGAAATAGGAAGAGGGGACCTCAGCCCTGACCTCAGAAGCTCCCCTTCTGACAGGAAACTGTTTTCAGTAGGTTAGAAACAGACGAGCACATGAAAGAGTTAAGTAAGGTTAGCGTGAAGTACAGTCCAGATGATGTGAGGTGAGTGGGGGCTGGAGCAATCAGGAAAGACTCCCTGGAGGAAGCCTGTGGAGCCTGGACTGTGAAAGGCAAGTTTGTTGAGGCCAAGAGAAGTAATGAGGTCCTCGAAGAATCAGGTAGTTAAGGTTGTTCCTTGGAAAGGGACATCATGCTTAGAGAGGTGGAAGGTCATTGAAAGAGAGAAAAACTCTTTGATGTATTTACATGATGACAGCAGTGGGCTCTAGTGTGTCAGAGATGATGAGGAAGACACAGGATAGGGCAAGATTCAGGTAGGCTGTTCATAGGTTGCTATGAGTCATACTCAACGGCACCTAAGAACAAGCATGCCCAGATGGCTCCCACGCACCCTTCTCTGCTTTCTCAGAGTCCTTTTATAAGGAGATGGGACAAGACTGGAGAGGGTTCCTGATGCCGGTAGATGGCAGAGGGAAAGAGTGAGAAGAAAAAAGAAGTAGAGACATCCCTGGCCCAGGTGGACCGAGCAGCGAATGGATTTAGGAGATGAAACTTCCCTGGATGAGACATTAGCGGGGAAGAGCTTGGACCATGAAGCAAGAGAAGGAACTCTGTCCCCAGTACCTCCACTCTATGATGTCTGATGTCTTCTCCTGTGGAGACCACGATAAGAGGCACTGTGGCTGTCACTGTGAAGTTTCTGGGTCCCCTCCCCAATTCCTGAGTGGGCCTGGAGCCATGGCATGCAGCCTGCCTGCTGTTTTACCATTGACAACAGGAGCCAAATCTCTGTGGGCTTCAGAGAAGGATGATTTGACAATATGTTAACGAGTTTTGTTTTTTAAACAGCCACAAACAAGGGCAAGCAGAGCCATTTCGTCTGGGCTGTGGAGGAAAAGCTCAGCCTGGCATACGTGAGGAGGAGTTTGGCACATGTCTGGTGAATGGAATCAGAATAGACAGCCAAGTACTGTTGTTAAAAACCATGTCAATGATATATTGAGAAAAGAAGTCTAAATGTGTTATTCAAAGTTCTAAACTTGCTTAGCAGAAAACAGAATATCTTCCTTCCAAATTGCTGAAGGATTTAAAAAAAAAAAACTAAAACAGATTTTACAGCAAAAGATAGAAGAAAAAAACAATGAAAAAGCATACATTCCAAAAATAATATGACTGCGGCAAGATCAAATGTATTTTAATAATAAATGTAACTGGATAAAATTCATCATTTAAAAGAAAAATGTTCTGCGTGGATGAGGAAGAAAGCCACGCTTTCATATGCTCTCAAATGACAAACCTGAAGCAAGATGATCCAGAAAAATGTGAAATCCTGGAGAAAGTATATCAAGCAAATACAATGATAAAACTTAGTGGGGAAGGGTGGCTGTGTATTTCTATTAAACAAGTTTTACTTCAAGGTAAAACTATGACAGAAGACAATGCCCATTTGAGAGACAAAGAGTTATATTCTGTATTAAGAGTATAACAAGTGTAACAAGTGTAAATACTTTTGATTGGAATAGCATAGCATTTAAATATATAAGCCAAAAAACACTGGAAACTCAAGAAAAAAATGACAACAGTACAATAGTAAAACGAGGTTTCTTTCTGTTGGGTCTTGACAAACCAGGAAGGAAAAAGAAAATGGGAGAGCCAATAGGTATATGAATTAATTTATATATGTATTGAAATATGTAAATTAACTTATATTAATGTAATAATAACACATAGCACTTACTGTATGTCCGAAGCTGAAAAGCTCTCAAACTCATTGTTACCGAGTTAGAACCAAACCGATTCCAAGTGAATTTTCAGAGGCTGTAAATCATATGGGAGGAAATTCCCCATTCTTCTCCCCTACAGCAGCCGATGGATTCAAGCTGGCTCCCACTGACAACTCCTTACGCACCGGGCCAACAGAACGTCCTTCCTATAGGTCAGATTCTGTTTATTCCTTTCCTCTTTTGATGCTTCCTGCATTGTTCAGTCATTTCAAGAGATAGCATATGATCAAGAACTGATGGTATCGAAAGAAGTGAAAGCTGTACTGAAGGCATTGGTAGAAAAAAAAAGGACATCACAAATTGACAGGAAACAGATTGAAATGTTTCAACAAATGATATGTTCTGAAAGTGTTTAACTTATACATGTCAAAAAAACATGGAAGACATCTACTTCACCAACAGACTGAAATTGTTTTTGTTAGGTGTCATCAAGTCGCATATGACTCATAGTGACCCTGTGAACAACGGATCTGAACCCTGTCCTGTCTTGTGCCAGCCCCACACTCCCTGACACACCTGATCCCATTGCTGCAGTCACCATGTCAATCAACCTAGTTCCTCAACAGACTGGAAGAGATCTATATTTTTTTTTCCCTTTGGTGAATTGAGATATATATTTTTGTGTCCATCCCAAAGAACCCTGCTTGCTGAAACTGAGGAGGACCTCATGCACTTACTGCAGAGGGTCAAGGACTGCAGCCTTCAGTATGGACTTGAGGCTCAATGTCAAGAAGACAAAAATTCTCACCACTGGACCAATCGGTATTATCAGGATGGATGGCGAAGAGATTGAGATTGTTCACAGCTTCAGTTTGCTCGGCTCCACGGTCAACACTCTTGGCACCAGTAGCCAGGAAATAAAAAAACGTATTGCGATGGGAAAGTCTGCGGTTAGGGACCTCTCTAAAGTACTCAAGAGCAACAGTGTCTCTCTGGAGACTAAGGTCCGCCTGATACAGGCCACGATTTTTGCAATCACTTGTTATGCATCAGAGAGTTGGACAATGACTAGGGAGGATAGAAGGAGAATTGACGCCTTTGAGCTGTGGTGCTGGAGAAGAGTATGGAATGTACCATGGACTGCCAAGAAAACAAACAGATTCATCATAGAGAGGATTAAACCAGGCTGCTCCTTGGAGGCAAGGATTCTGGGGCTTCGTCTGACATACTTTGGACATGTTGTAAGGAGAGACAGGTCTTTAGAGAGGGACATCATGCTGGGTAGAGTGGAGGGACAACGCAGGAGGGGAAGACCCTCTATGAGATGGATTGATTCAGTGACTGGGGTAATCGGGGTGGGTGTGTCAGATTCGGTGCGGTTGGCGCAGGATAGAGCAGGGTTTAGGGCTGTTGTACATAGGGTCGCTATGAGTCGCAAACGACTCGATGGCACATAACAACAACATCCCAAAGAAAGGGTATCTAACAGAATGTATAAATTATTGAACAGTATCATTAATAGCACGTGCAAGGAAAAGTTTGCTGAAAAATAATTTAAAAATTGCTGCAGAAACTCAAAGTGGTTTCAGAAGAGACCGTGGAGTAAGGGATATCATTGCTGATGTCAGATGGATTCTGGTGAAAAGCAGAAAATTCCAGAAAGATGTTCGTTTACCTGTTTTATTGAGGCATTTGACTGTGTGGGTCCTAACAAACCAGAATGTCATTTCAAAGAATGGGAATTCCAAAACACACCTGCATTTAGATGGAACCTATATATAGACCAAGAAGCAGTCATTCGAACAGAGCAAGGGGAGACTGCATGGCTTAAATTCATTAAGATGCAAATCAGAGTTATGTCCATTGGTGAGAACTGCTCAGTTTGTTTGCTGAGCATATAATCCAAGAAACTGGATGATATGAAAAATAATGTGGCATCAGGATTGAATGAAGATTCATTAACAACCTGTGCTAGGCAGATGATGCACCCTTCCTTGAAATCAGAGAGGACATGAAGCATTTGCTAATGAACATCAAAGACTACAGCCCTCAATGTGAATTACACTTCAACATAAAGAAAACAAATACTATCACAGCTAGACCAATAAGCAATGTCATCATAAATGAAGAAAA